CGTCATGATAATTACAATTTAAAGTAATCAATTTTAAATAGCCATGTTATATACTTATATTACATCGAATTTTGATAAATTGTCATGAATACTAAATGTCAAGATTATTTAAGTGGAAATTACATAAACTAAGTATTTTCAAGATCTTAATTTATAATTAAAAATTACTAAGTTTTTCTTTCAAAAATCAGATATAGTTAAAATTTTAAATAATAATAATATAAAATCAAACTAATCCATCCCACCCCACCCGCCACCGTACCCACACCAACCCACCTGCCTACATAACCTCAATTCAATTACTTTCCATACCTTAAAATCCACCCTCTTCTTCCTCTCTCAATATTCTCTCTACCAACCATTTCAAGCGTTACCATCCCTTACGGTGATGGCCATTCTCCTTGCATCATCGCCGCGACCACTCACCCTCGCAACACCGTCGTATTATGTTGAACAACATCACACCAATCCCCACCACCTAGCCCCGCACCACCACCGCCCATTGTGCCACCGCCACTCAACATCGCTCCACTATCGCATTGTGCCACCACTGCTCAACCTTGCACGCACCACTATCGTGTTGTGCCATTCCACATCACACCAACCCCCATCGACGATTCTCTTCTTTCACTCTCTTCTACCCATTTTTTCTTTCTCATCGATGGTGCAACAGGCAAATCCATCATGCTGAATAGTCGTCGTTCGCCGCTGAACGACGTTTGAGTTCGACACGTACATCGACGATCTGGTGGCCGCTAAGTGGGGCAATGGATTTGTGGTTGTTTTTGTAATGATTTTGTGTGATGGTGGTGGTGGTGGTGGTGGTGTTAGTCACATGTACTTTTCAAGGCAATCGCGATTGGTGTCGGGGTGTTTGATGATGCTGCGATCTGGCAGCGATGATGGTGCTGGAGTTTAGTGTGGGGTGGTTATTATGGTGGTGGGTTTGCGTTAATGTGGTGTGTAGTGGAGGTTTTGCACGGTCTGGTGAGGCAATGGTGGTCGTCGTGGCAGTTGTGGGTGGGTTGTAGGGTAAATGGGACAAGGTGTTTGCAACCATTTATTTGGTTGATTTTGATCAATAATTAATAAATTGTGACAAATAAATAATATGATACCTAAAAATGTGATTGTGACTCACAGTTTAGTAAGTTGTGATCAAGAATTAATTATGACCAATTAATTTGATAATTTGTGATCGATGAATCAGTTGTGACCAATAAAAATTTTAATTTTGTGACCAATGAATAATATGTGATCAATAAAAAAAATTATTTATGACTGAAAAATAATCTGTGACCTATAAAAATTTTTATCTGTGATCGAGAAATAATTTATGACCTATTGAATTTTTGATTTGTCATCGAAAAATAATTTGTAACTAATTAATTCGATAATTTATGACCAAATTGTAAAGATTTGTAATCTTAATATATTCAATTGATAAAATAATTTTTAACTAATTATTTCATGAATAAAATTTAATAATATCTGATTTTTGAAATTTTAAATCTAATTTCTTAGTTTTGAAATAAGTCCTAGTTAAATTCTTAGATATGAAATTTTCCCATTATTTGATATAAAAACAACACTTATTCATTTCTTAACAACATTTATTATTGGTTCATTTTTTACAAAAGTGAATGAAACTTGAATTTTAATCGACCTATCTTTGCATTTTGCTAAGATTGGTTTCAAGCACCACAAACTTAAATGAATATTAATTTGAGACGGGTCAGGATTAGGAGGGAGTGTAACTTTGATTTCAAACAACTCATTTATAACATGTTTAATATAGTTGATAGGCTTTTCCTTATAATACATACCAAACACGATTTCAATATTTTATATATTAGATTATATAAGACTTATTATTATTATTATTAAAAAGAAAGACTTGTGATTAATTATTATATGATGTTCTATCAAACGTGATTGTTATCATAATTCAACATAGACAATGGCAAGATTCAAGTAATATTTGGACGCTAAAAATCTTCCACTCTCATATAACTGATCTTCTATACATAATGAGTAGGATACATACTTTTTACTATTGACATGACAAAAACCATACATTCAGAGAATTAAAGTTCTCTCTATCACATTAGTGGTGAGAAATTTTTATCCTGCTCATTATACATATAAAAATCCCACTTAGAGTTAAAAAAAAATTGAAAATATCCAAATCAGGGCTATCCAACATTTAAGAACCTTTAACCTACAAACCCTAACTTGCAACCACTTAAAAAAACTAGTCCACTGTTAGAAGAATACTGCTCCTTGGACATGGGCAATGACGGGGATGGGGGAAGACAGGGTAGTGTGACGACAGTGGTTGGTTGTGTTTTTACTTCTTTTTTTTTTTTTCAAATTGTCTAATCATCTATTGACATATGTTTCCTCTATTATCGAGTCTGGCATTGAGTTTGCCATTGTAGCATAACTCCTGTAAGAATTACACCAACTTTATTTTACCTTTAAATCTCAACCGTCCAGCTTTTTATCCAACTGTCCATTTTTTTTTCAGTCACAGTCTATCAAAAATGCCTCGCCTCGTCGAAGATTACTCATTATACTCCTATCCCTTTCACTTTGAGAAAAATTCGATACCCATTTTAAAAAAATAAAGGAATAATCATATTTTGTATGGAAAGAACCAAATTTATTCTCGCTGTTTAGATTTTATCTTGAAAGTTTTTAACGAGATTAACTGGAATATGCATAAAAGACTGGATTTTGATGATTTTTTCGTGTCATTTTAGTGTATGTCTAGCTAATGTAACTTACAGATTGTAATTTTTTTTCTTAAGGTTTACGAGGTGTGGTTCTCCGAATTAGTTTAATTTTTTCTTGTTACTTCTGACCCTCAACTCACGCTAGAGCTCCTAGTCCTTGCATCCCTCCTGTTGGAGGTGGAATGGTGAGCTCACTGGACAGGACAAATGTGAATATTCCGAAGTCATTTGATGATGTTTCGCCTGATATTAGCCACTCCGCCAACTGCTTTGCCTGGGATGAGTCTGTCGGCAAATAGCGTGGTGGATGGAGGGAAGCATCAAACCTCTCATATTCATCATGAGATTGATGCTCATCAGAACCTGTTCCATTCTCAAAGCGATCAAACTGGATTCAAGAACAGTCCATACTTGAACAAGTCTGAATCAATGCAATATTATAAACTAGCTAAGTCCTCAGCAAATTCATTCTTGAAAGGGTCATCTACGCCTACTCTGAGTAGTGGAGGAAGTCCTGCATCATCTCAGTATCATAACATTGATAGTCTGAATTCATCTTTACCAAACCATGGGTTTGGTGGTTTTGCTATCAATCCATGGAAATCAGCTTGGTGGTGGTAATTTTCCTCATTTGGTTGAGAATATTGCTGCCAGTAGTGTCTCTGGAATTGACTCTACAGCAATGGGAGGAGGCTTGAGTTTAGGACCTAATTATTTGGTTGCTTGCATTGGAACTGCAGAACCTGGTTAGATTTGGAAATCATAATGCAGAAAATGCTTTGCATAAGGCACTGTTGGACCCATCATATCTTCAGTACTTGAGATTACATATGGAGTTGCTTGGGTTGCAGAAACCTTACCTTGAACCTTTGCTTCAGCAGCAATATGGCCTTGCTTTCGGCAAAACCAGTAATCTGCATCATGGTTTCTTTGGATATCCTGCATTTTCTCCTGGTATGTCATATCCTGGAAGCCCAATAGCGGACCCAGTTATCCCCAATCTCCCTTTCGGACCAAGTAGTCCTGTTATGCATGTGGAACAGATCATGCATATTCCTTCAGGGTTGAGGAATATACCTGGCAGTTTTATGGGAGGTAATTTGGAGGAAATTTTTGCACCTTCTTTGTTGTATGAGTTCAAGAGCAACAAAACTAAATGTTTCGAGCTCGCAGAGATTGCTGGTCATGTTGTTGAGTTCAGGTATATATTTCAGGAAAGAACTTTTGACTTATTTTGCCCACCTCTGAAAACTTAACAAGTTTATTTCAAACCTGTGCTTTGCAGTGTGGATCAGTATGGAAGTCGGTTTATCCAACAAAAACTTGAAACAACCAATGCACAAGTGAAGAACATGGTCTTCCATGAAATTATGCCCCATGACTTTCCCTGATGACAGATGTGTTCGGTTAATATGCGTCCAGAAGGTGTGGAATTTAAGACACTCATATCTTCTATTCTATTCATTTGTTGAGATATTCATGTGTTAAAGTATATACATTAACTGGGATGAACATGAGAGTTCATCATATTTTCTGGTTCTTATTCTTTTTTCAGTTTTTTGAACACGGAAGTGCATCCCAGATTAGACAATTGACTGAGCAGCTAACTGTGCATGTCTTAAATCTTAGCCTTCCAATTACCTGAAGAATGCTATCGATTTATATTTATTCTAAAACATTTCCTCTTTAATATTTTCTCGTTATTTTGCTTTTGTTTTTATTATTTTTAGTCATGGAGTTGTATGAATAGAGCTTTGAGAAAATGGGTGTGCAAGTATCACCATATGTGGACAATCATAAATAAATATGTCTGCTTTATAAAGTTTTAGGCGGTGTTTCAATTATTTGGCCTTTTGGTCTTAAAGCATGTTTTCATACTTCTTCGTTTTCTTGGTTGAGTCGTAGGCTAATCAAGATTTAACTGTAGAATGTGAAATTGCTTCTTTTAGCATGCAAAAAGTGTAATTGCATGTAATAGTATACAATGATGTAACAGAGTCCTTGATGCTTGATGACTTTGGCTTGACTTATCTTGTGAATTACCAGGCTATTGAAGTTATTGAGTTGGACCAGCAGACTAGAATTGTTACAGAGCTCGATGGTCGTGTTATGCTCTTGTGTACGCGATCAGAATGGGGAATCATGTCATACAAAAGTGTATTGAATGTGCTCCTGAAAGTGTCATTGAGTTTATTGTTACAACATTTTACTATCAAATTGTGCCAATGTCCACTCATCCATATGGCTGTCATGTGGTGCAGGTAAAGAAACTAGCTGCATTTATATACTATTGACATGTTTGGTGAACACAAGTGAAATGATTGTACGATACAATGATCAAAATTTTAACTTTTTAAAACATTATCCAGTCTAACTTATCAAACATGTCATATAGGTTTATAACTTGGAATACCAATGGAAAGATTTCCATAATTCTATTATAACTTGGTCTTTATTTTTCAGTCCTGGAGCACTGCCACAAACCCCAAACCCAGAGCATAGTGATGGACGAAATTTTGCAATCTGTTTGCATGTTGGCACAAGATCAATATGGAAACTATGTCATTCAGGTTTGCAAGATCTCCAGGAAGCTTGTATCATGAAATATATTTCTTGGAAGTGTGAAGTTTAAGAATACAATATCGTTTTAAATAATTAAGTTGTCTTTCTATATCATCTTGGTACCTGACAAGCTTTTATCCATATTGGAGCCTGTCTGTAGCGACCGCGAATTTTTAAACTATATAAATTAATTTTCTCGAAAAACGTGTCGCTAAAACGTAACCCTAATTTTTTTGAGAAACGCGTTCGTCTAGCCGTTATAAAAATTGAATTCAAATCTATTCGATTAAATCCAATTTCGAATAATTATTTTAGTATCAATTTCGAATTATTTTATTTAAATCCAATTTTTATTAAATTCAAGCCCAATTACTTATTAGTCCAAATCTTGGATGTTTAGGTCCAATTCCACTTAAGTCCAACAAGGAAATTATTTC